ATTTATACGTCTGTAAATCACCCGGAAGCCGGCCTTGGCCGGAATGGTGGGATACAAATTTAATTAATAAATAAAATAAAGTACTTCCTTTTTGTCTGTTCTGAAATACCGTCCTCATTTTGGAATAATTTCAATGTATGTAAATACAATTTACAGTTGTCCTGGTGCTGACTTACTCAAAAATATGCAGTATGAGTCAGCCCTACACAAAATATGCTAAGTTAGACATATAAAGTATGGCAGCTCTCATTAAAGTTTATATTGTCACGATAAAGCTTTCTCATTTCTGATTCAAGCCTGTCTATCTGCCTGAGCAAACTGTTGAAACAAAGCCTAAGAATGGAACAGGTGTATAGTTTCTGGATTATTTTACGATTTCCCCCCCTTTAAAACCCTGCATAGAACTAACATGTAGCTGTCTCCTGAGTATGTGTAGCTCTGATTGCACATATTTCCCCCTATTTCTTTGTCATTCCTTCCTCATTTGTTTCTCCCAATATGCTGAAATATGGATTGTAAGCCCTTCAGGGCAGTTAGAGTCCCTGGGGGCAAAATAAAGCTTGTATGGACCTATCCATAGCTGGAGCCTGTTTGGAGAGTTCAAGGGGAAGGGATTGTTTTGAGTCTTCCCCCGGGTACTTTCCTATAGGATCTTCTCTTCCTCCTTGTTTGTGTCTCCAACATCTAGATGTCTTGGGGATTCAAATTGGAGGCAGGGCAGTAGAAAGTGACTTTCCTTTTTTATCCCCCCCTTCCAAACCCACCTCTGACTATGGGTGGTAGATGTGCTTTTCTCTCTGCCTCCAGGCACTCGCTACAGTATCAGAGGGTAAAGCAAAGGTACGGAAAGCATAATGGCAAGAGCAAATGTTTATGAGGTGCTTCTGGTGGAAAGCCCCTTGACCTATGCTATAATAGCCTCCACAGAAATTAAATCCTCAAGTTTTACAGATTTCAAAGATGGCAAATAAAGTCAGATTGTTGGGTTCCAGGTACTGCTGTGCCTTTTATGTTTCAGCCTTTAGTATGCTGATACCATAAACCCCTCACTGGAATATAGTTGCACTGCATTACAATGGCAAGGTGTTTTATTTAAAAGATTTTAAACTCAGAGGCATATTGATTTCTCTTTACTTGGGAATGATTTGTGTTTCTATAATATTCACTATAATATATTCTAAAAATCATGATAAGAGGATAAAAACCTATTTGTTTGTTTGTGTATTGAAATGTGTTTGTATGCTGCTGTTCCAAAGAAGGCTCAGAGCAGCAAATAATGCAGTTAAATAAATTGTAATGAAATTGATGGATTAGTAATTTAGTAGGGAGGCAGATAACTGATTGTCCCAACCTGAAGATTCCTAGGGCTTAGTTACATATTCAGCTCCATTTTGAAGATTAATGGAGAAGATGCAGACATTTTTGGAACTAGAAATAGCTTAAAATAAATTCTGATGGCACTTCCACAGGGCAGCTAAAACCTTTGCCTTTTTATTCAGAACTGAATAAAGGGAAGCTTTCACCCTTGTCTTTAAGTTGTTACTACTTGTGAAAGACCACTTCTGCTTTTCTCCTCAGAATTTCTTTTGAGGGTGGAGGCGGGGTCTATGGCATAGCGATGGCAGACATCTTTCCCAGCTCTCTGGGAAGGCATGCCACACAGCAGCGGGGGGGGGGGGGAGATGCCGGTGGGTGCGGCCCCAGGGGGGGGGGGAGAGATGCCGCTGGATCAGCACCTCCATGGGGGTTCAGGGGGAACTCCCAGGCCATAGGGCTTTTGAGGGTGAGCCTCTTTTCCTGCTACCTGCAGGGAGAGGGTGGCCCCCCCCCGCCGGTCCCTCCCACTGACTGCGTCCTCTCAGCGAGGCCATAAGTTGTGTTGATCCGGTAAAGCCAGGAGATCTAGTGGAGGAGCGATCAAGAGAGTGGTCAAGATAAAGACCAACAATGAACTGTGAGTTAAGGAGCGAACTGTGAGTTAAAATGAGCGAATTGTCTTCAGAAGAGAAAATCCCCCCCCCCAAGGAAAAACCTTTTGAGCGATCGGAACTGTGCTGAGAGAGGGACGCCTCTCAGATGCATTTACATAAGCGGGGGGGGGGAGAGAGAAACGATTGTAAATGGATACTTTGAAGCGAATTCCCCCCCGAAACCTCTTAAGCGATTGAATCGTGCTGAGAGAGGGATGTCTCTCTGACGCATTTATAAAAGCGGAGGGGGTGAGAGAGAGAGACGTCTGTAAACGGACATTTCTGAAAGACTCTATTTTTAAGCATACAGGCCTGTTGTGGGAGATATCCATGAGCATCTAAGCGATTAAACAGCGTAAAGCGATTTTCAGAGCCGGGGAGAAAGTGATTTTATATTGAAAATAAAGCGTTAAAATGGAGGACACTCCAAAAAAATTGGTGAAAACAACTCCGAGAAGAAGGGAAGCAGACATTATTGCACTTATAGCGGAAGCCACCAAGCCGATTCTGGAGCAACTTGTTGGTATTATTAACCTTCAGCTTGCCAAGATAAATCAACAATTTGTGTCCCGGCAGCTCTAGTTAGCAACGATAGCAGAAAAAATGGAACTGAGGAGTTTTAAAGCGAAAGAGATGGATACTAAATTAAACAGCGATTTCAACGAGAAAAGGAGGAAAAGTACAAGACAGGAAAGATTTACAAGGACTTAATTCCTTCCTTGCAAGTGTTCTCAGAAAGTGTCACCTTAAATCCTGCTGAGAGAAAAGAGCTTGAATTTGCCTTCACAATCAAGAAACTTTTGAGATGCCACTGGGCCCCGAGGGCGAGACCAGAGAGGAAGAGGCTCAAGATTGGCAGTTTTATCCTTTTGAAGACGGAGGAAGACTGGGCTGCAGAATCTGGAATGAACGTCTAAGAATCTATTAAGAACTTAGAGAGTCTTAGTGTAGATGTAAAGGCGGAAGGACTCTGAAAATTGCCTTTATGAAGCAAGCTGGAGGAGATGCTCGGGAAATCTTCTCATAACAAGTAACAAACAAACTAACATATGAGATTAGAAAGACAGGTTCTCACAAAGTATATTGTTTATCAACAGCTTTTCTTTTTTATTAATAAGGGTAGCTTAACAGGGAATTATCTCCTAACCTTGGGTTTTTAGCATAGTGTGGGTTGCTTTCCTTTCTCCCTAGTTGTAGTTACCCTTTCCCTATTTTTTCTTGGTAGTTTTTGTAGTATTAAAAAAATAAAAAATCCCCTCTGGGGGCTTTAAAAATAGAATTTCTTTTGAGGACCTATTTTTAAGAGTTTCTTATCTATGTAATATGAAGGCATATGGATTTTCAGTACATTTCCATAGGTCATCTGCCCAGTAAAGGCTAATTGAGGCAGAATGAACTGTCTGCTGTGAATGACTCTTGTTGATATGGATAGCTCGGATGACACCACAGGTACCATAAAGAATATTCAGTAGTTTGAAGTAATAGTGAAACAAGAAGAGCACTCCTCAAAATTCCATTTGAGAAAGATAGTGACATGAATCAGATATTTCAACAAACTGTGTTCTGTTGTTATATGGGTGCGCTTGGGGCTCCTCAGACTTTTCTCATCCTCTTTCCTCCTCTCCTTTTACACAGCTTGGACTCTGCTTTTGCAGCAAACCACAGTTTGTTGTGTCTGAATTACAAATGCTGATTTTAGGGTTGCCAACAATCTCGGGGGGAAATGCCCTGTTATATTAATGGAGGTCTAATGTGTGGGAATGCACAGTTGAAGTTTTTCAAGGCATGGAGACAAATAACACCACTTGGTAAATATCACCCCTTAAGCCTCTGTTAAAGGGGTAGGACTCCCCCCCCCCCCAGGCTGTTGGCTATCTAGATGGTTTGCATAATCCTTCTTAGGCTAAGTTAAACTGGGTAAATAGGAAAGCGGAGTGGGGAAGTAAGTGGAAAAGATGAAGTTGTCAGTGAATGTATGTGCTGTTTACTGATTGGTACTGATGACTCAATTACTTTGAGCAGTACTAATATTATTAAAAAATTAAAGAAATTAAAATTTGTTTATTATTTGACTGTAAATATTTATTTATTTGTAATAAAATTACCCAACTTTCCATAATAGCAGTCAACCATGAATTAACTTCCTACAGAATAATATGATTTCCTGTAATGGAAATGATTTCTTAGACTTACTAGGTTTGTCCCATTAACCCTGTTGGACCTGTTACGAATTCCTGCCTTCCCAGAAATAGCACCCATCTCCAAGGAAAGACCAGCCTTGTCCAGTCATCAGTCAGAGAAGGCTAGTGAAGGGTTCCTCCTTGTTGAAATAACACTCTGCACAAATGTCAGTTGCACAGGACTGCAGATGTGAGAGGAAGGACATTCTGACCTCTGTCAGTGGTCAAAGTTTTATGGACTGCTGAGTAGGGGGGTTTTTTTGGCGGGGGGAGCTTTTATGGTATTGTATTTCTGGTAAAGTGGTTGTTTGATGAAAAGGCAGGAAATAAATATTTAAATAACTCACATAGATTAATCTTATCAATTGATGGTACAAATTAAATCTGATGGATTGTAGATTAGTTATATGGGGGTGATTGGTTGCTTTTAACCTTATTGCAGTTTTGCTTATTCTGATATCAGGAATGATACTGTGTTATTGCAATGGACTATGTCTACAGTGATTAATGCTGCTTTGTATTGCTATAGCATTCATTAATACTTATATTTTATGGGCAATTTGCTTCTCAGAATGTGTGGAGTGCAGATCAATGTCCCTTGAGGACTTCAAGTAATTTACAAGTAAAACGTGTATCTGAATGTTGTATTTTTATAATCAACTTTTGTGTTTAAATTTCATTTAATTGTAGTGAAATAGCAAAGGACAGTGATCGAAATGCTTTAATGACTGTTTCCTATAAACACTCTCTGTTGACAAAACTCTCTTTCGTATGTCGGCTGTGAATATAGAAACACAAAATCCCTGAGGGGCTAAGTCTGAATACTTTGCTGTTTCTTGTCCTTTCACAGAGTTCTGAAGCCTTGGAGGTAATCATCCTGGAGCGGTGCTACATTGTGCAGTTCAGGAATAAAGCAGATGTTTCAATAGTTCTCAGTAAGTAAGAGACTTCTAATGATGCAGCTCATCTTCTCTTCTGCATTTCAGGCAATTTCCCCCGCAAATATTTAGGCAAAATATATCCTCCAGTTTTGCAAAAGGGCAAGGATCACAGTGCAATTGCAATTATTCTGATTTAAAACTCATATAGGAGTGTGTGTGTATTTATATATATATATAAACACACACACATGTATGTGTGCGCGCTTATTCAGGATGGCATTTGATTAGTTTTTTAACCTATTGGCCATTGTTAATTGTTAGTTTAATTCTAGTTTTTATGCATTTTGTGTATTTTTAGGTTTCTTGTAAGCTGCATTTAGTAATTTAGAAAAGCCGCTAATAAATGTTCAGATGATACTGAAGCTAAGTAGATCTAGATCTGGTCTGTTTTAGAATGGAAGACTAGCTATGTATTCAAAGTACCCTGCCATAAATTGCAAGAAAGAAAAGAAGGTTTTAACTGTAATTGCTGAGTGGAAATGTTGTGGAGTAGAAATTGGTTATTCCAAGGAGGAATTAAAGCTGCCTTTTGATACATTGCAGAGTAAGAACATAAGAACATAAGAACATAAGAGATGCCAATGTTGGATCAGGCCAAAGGCCCATCCAGTCCAACACTCTGTATCACACAGTGGCCAGAAATACCAGTGCCATCAGGAGGTCCACCAGTGGGGCCAGGACATTAGAAGCCATCCCACTGTTGACCCCCCAAAGCACCAAGATGACAGAGCATCACTTGCCCCAGAGTCCCTATCTATACCTTGTGGCTAATAGCCACTGATGGACCTCTGCTCCATATGCCTATCTAATTCCCTTTTGAAGCCGTCCATGCTTGTAGCCGCCACCACTTCCTGTGGCAGTGAATTCCAAGTGTTAATCACTCTTTGGGTGAAGAAGTACTTTCTTTTATCCGTTCTAACCCGACCACTCAGCAATTTCATGGAGTGCCCACGAGTTCTTGTATTGTGAGAAAGGGAGAAAAGTACCTCTTTCTCTACCTGCTCTTTCCCATGCATAATCTTATAAACCTCAATCATGTCACCCCTCAGTCGTTGTTTCTCCAAGCTAAAGAGCCCTAAGCGCCTTAACCTTTCCTCATAGGGAAAGTGTTCCAACCCCTTTATCATTCGAGTTGCCCTTTTCTGCACTTTTTCCAAAGCTATAATATCCTTTTTAAGGTGTGGTGATCAGAATTGCACACAGTATTCCAGATGAGGTCGCACCATTGATTTATATAGCGGCATTATGATATTGGCTGATCTGTTTACAATACCCTTCCTAATAATCCCCAGCATAGCATTGGCCTTCTTTATTGCAGTCACACACTGTCTCGACATTTTCAGTGAGTTATCTACTACAACTCCAAGATCTCTCTCTTGATCAGTCTCTGCCAGTTCAGACCCCATCAACGTGTATTTATATTTAGGATTTTTGGCTCCAATGTGCATCACCTTGCACTTGGCCACATTGAACCCCATTTGCCATGTTGACGCCCACTCGCCCATCTTTGACAGATCCCTTTGGAGTGCCTCACAATCCTCACTGGTTTTCACCACCCTGAACAACTTCGTATCATCCGCAAATTTAGCCACTTCACTGCTTACTCCCAACTCCAAATCATTAATGAACAAGTTAAAAAGCAGTGGACCAAGTACTGATCCCTGCGGTACCCCACTGCTTACCCCCCTCCACTAAGAGAACTGCCCATTTATACTCACTCTCTGTTTTCTATTAATTAGCCAGTTTTTGATCCATAAAAGGACTTGTCCTTTTATCCCATGATTTTTGAGCTTACTTAGGAGCCTTTGATGAGGAACTTTATCAAAAGCTTTCTGGAAGTCAAGGTAAACAATATCTATTGGATCCCCCTTGTCCACATGTTTGTAAAGTAGTAGGGAAGAAGCTTCCATAGTATGGATAAATATTTGAAAAAAAATTAATGAAAGTCCACAGCTTTGATCTTTTTTGTTTTGATGTTTTTTAATCAAAGGATTCTAGCATTACATTTTTTAAAAAAGTTAAGGGAAACATTTATTAGCTCACGAATACAGTTTAGTTACATTGTAGTAATTGTAGGAGCTGCGGTGGCTCAAGTGGTTAAGACGCTGAACTGCAGGCTGTGGAAGGTCAGTAGTTCAGCAGTTCGAGACCCAGGTGCCGCATGATGGAGTGAGCTCCCATCTCTAGTTCCAGCTCCTGCCAACGTAGCAGTTCGAAAGCAAGACATTGCAAGTAGATAAATAGGGACCACTTCGGTGGGAAGGTAACAGCGTTCCATGCGCCTTGGTGTTTAGTCATGCCAGCCACATGACCACGGAAACGTCTTCGGACAGCGCTGGCTCTTCGGCTTTGAAACGGAGATGAGCACCGCAACCCTAGAGTCAGATTCGACTGGCTTTCGAGCAAGGGAACCTTTACCTTTTACTAGTACCTTTTCATTCCTTCAGAAAGATCTCAATTATGTTTTTTATTACTGCTTTCATCTTAGCATCCCTTGTGGAGATACAAGCCACTGCGTCCTGCTGGGCTGAGCTGTGGATGCTGACCAATAATACTAAACAACTTTCTTGCTAAAGGACTTGTCCTTTCCCTGATATATTGCTGCTGAGCCACTTTTGTACCAGTTGCCAGCTGTGTGCACTGAGGAACCTGAACTGGGAACATGGCAAATAAAGCACATATTTAACTGCACTTGAAAGTGCTAGAAATGTGTCTGGAATGCCCAGAGTTCGCAACAGCAAGTACAGGCTATTCCAGGTGATCTGTTGGTTGTTGTAAGATTAACTGGAGAACTCTGCTTTGTGGTGCACACCATTTTGTGACATTTTGATTGGTCCTGTGAATCAGCCCTATTATTTGAAACCTTTATAAGATGGAAAGTGTTGAATAATTCTACTGTATTTACTCGAAAGGAAGAAGACCGTGAATGTAAGACACACACGTATGTTATACACCCAAAACATAACTGTAACTTGTATACAAATGTAAGATGACCCCCCTCTTTTATATTGCATTTTTTTTTTGGGGGGGAACCCTAGTCTTGCATTTGAATAAATACTATATAATTATAAAGCTGAGTCTTAGCTTAACTTTATCACATCTGCTAAAGAGATGTTGCTTAATCTGTATTCAGCTTTGGGTTGTTATGGCACAGGGCAGGCTCAGAAGTGGTTGGCTGCCAAGCTGTGGGTTTAATATTACGTGTTCCGTACAGCACGTGCAAAATCATGTAGGGATGGTAAATTTCAGCCCATGATGGAGTTAACCTGAAACTGTGAGAGGCACAGCAGGTGTCTCTTCTAGTGGCCTCTTCCAAGAAAAATAATAATTTCTCTGTATCATACCTGATTAACTAAGCATTTATCTAGTATTCTCAAAGGTTGGTTTGGGATTAATTCAAAACCCTTTTTCTAAATATTTGTGTCATTCTTCCTGTTGCAAAAACACCCAAATAATCCCCTGCAGTGTCAGTGTTACATTTCTTTGTGACATTGCACTGGTTCAGCAATGTGTAAATTTCCAACTTTGCACAGAAACATCGCAATGACGCTACAAGAGCATCTTGTAGGACGTTTATGAGATCCTATGAGATGGTGGTGAAGGCTATATAAAGAGACTTTTATTCAGCCTCCACCACATCTGCTAGCTCTTGCCCAGCCCAATTGTTTAAGGTGATTTGATCTTTAACCTCTCTTACTAACACAAAATACTAGCAATTTGGCTATTAGCTGTGTGGCATTTGCAAGCTTTTTTGTGGATGAAGTCATGTTGCTCCATCACAACCTGCCGACCAACATTGATACCGTATATGAATTGGAGGCCCCTTTGCCATCTTTGGATTCAGTATTCGACACCTTCAGGTGGCTCTCACTGACTGATGTCAACAGGATTCTGGGTTCTGTTACGCCTACCACATGGCTCCTGGATCCATGTCCCTCATGGCTGATGAAAGCCAGTGGTAAGGGGATACGGGGCCCTCTGCTGGATATCAATCTGTCCATGGATCTGGGGGTCTATCCAGAGGGTTTGAAGGAGGCTGTGGTAATACCACTCTTGAAAAAGTCATCCTTGGTTCCTTTAGATCCTTCCAGTTATCACCCAGTTTTGAGCTTATCGTTCCTGGGCAAGGTAATTGAGAGGGTGGTAGCCGAGCAGCTCCAGCGTTCCCTGGATGACACATCAGAACTTGATCCATTCCAGTCCAGTTTCTGCCCTGTCCATGGGACAGAGACAACATTGGTCGCCGTCACGGATGATTTCCATAGGCTGATGGATCGAGACGGGTTGTCACTGCTGTTATTGTTGGATCTTACAGCAGCATTTGACACTGTCAATATGATCTGTTGACCCACTGCCTCACCAACATAGTAGTTTGTGGGGTGGTTTTACAGTGGCTTACCTCAGTCCTTCGAGATTGGGGATAGAGGGTGGTGCTAGCGGGGAGGGTGTCCACTAGGTTCCCCTTAACATGTGGAGTTCTGCAAGGGGAAATCCTCTCCCTGATGCTGTTTGACATCTATATGCACCCCCTCACCCAGCTCTTATGGAGCTTTGGGCTAGGGTGTCATCAGTACACTGTTGATGGGTGGTCTCCTGGACTCCCCTCCACAAAATCTGGCTGAGGGACTGGAGGCTGTGGTGGGATGGTTGAGGAAGAGATTGAAACTGTATCCACCTAAGACAGAGGTTCTGTGGTGGTGGTGGGATTCAGGATTGGGGTCCCAGCTTCCCACTCTTGACCTTTAATAATGGTTCAAACTGTCAAGAGTTTGGGTGTGGTCTTGGATACCTCCTTATCCATAGAGATCCAGATCACAAAAGTTGCCAAGCTGGCATTCTACCAGTGGTGCCAGGCAGGGCAGCTGACCCCTTTCCTGTCTTGCCCTGACCTAACCGCATGCAACAGTCACCTCTAAATTGGATTACTGTAATTCATTCTATGCTGGCCTGTCCTTGAGACTGCTTCAGAAACTCCAACTTGTCCAGGATATGGC